AAGCAGTGCGGCAGATACATCTTCAGGTAACTGTGTTTCAGCTCAGCAGGCATCAGTGCTTGTACATGCATGCTTATCTGAATTTCTCCTCTTGATTCACAGCCATCTTGACATCAGCCAGGTAGGATTTACAAAATAAAAGGATAAATGAGGTGCTGAAATTTATCATGGTGATGAGCAAGCAGGTCAGAGTGGCAGCTGCCAAGTTACTGGCATCACATCATGCAGCATGTGTTGGCTGTGAGTTTTGGAAATGGGCTTTTTGTTTCTTTTCTTCAAGGCTGCCAAGATGACAGTGTGTGATGTGTGTATGTATTTGGGTTACTGCAATGTTACCAGTTTACTGATGCAATCATTGACCTTGCAGTTAAGCCCAGATGATGATATCTGCTGCCAGTATGCATAGGTAAACACTCACTGGCCACTTTATTAGGTACACTTGTGAAATTGTATGCAATTCAGTGGAACACTTCTGCCTTAACATCTGTTTATGATGCTTAAAATGTTTTAGTTTTTGGTGAAATTGTCATAAATGTATTAATTCAATTATATATATCAGTGAGGTCATAGCTAAAGGTGGAGTTGTACTGGACTACATAATATTCAGAGGTGTTCCTAATATTCTGACCCTCTTGCATATGTAGCTGGGGAGGACACCTTAAATTAAGTCCAAATTAAAAATCAGTTGTTGCATGTTTTTTTTTAAGAATGTGGGGGAAACCAGAGTGCCTGGAGAAAACCCACGATTGTATTCAAATGTTTTTATTTGATTTTATGATTTTGAAGTACAATTTAGAGAGACAAATTAAGTCCAAATTAAAAATCAGTTGTTGCATGTTTTTTTTAAGAATGTGGGGGAAACCAGAGTGCCTGGAGAAAACCCACGACACCACAGTAGACAACCAGGAGGCTGTGGAAGTAAATCCCTACCAAAATGTTTTGGTGGGGATTTACTTCTGCAGATGAAAATGAGTCTTACCTTCACCTAAACAACCCCAACTCTGTTTTTTTTTCTGAAGATACATAGAGACGAGAAGGATTTGGAGACGGGGCTACACTGTTTTGGTTTTGTCAGGTGAGATCTGATAGATGAGGCGGTCAATTTTGCCACTTTTTTTGCTTCTGTTACCATGGAAACCAGAAGTTTCATATGTGATTTGTTCGAGTTTTTATATAGTTCTTTGAAAATGACCTTGTGGAGTTTGTCCAAATTTCTGGTGGTGTCAAAGTTGATGTCTTTCACCTCTGCCAATGTTTCATCATGTAATTTCTTAATAATGGCTTCTGCCTTTCCTAATTCAATATCTATTTTTGCTTTTTTGTATGCCTTTGCGACCAGCTTTTCCAACAGCAACATGAGAAACACCTCCTTTTTCTTTGTCTGCAGTTCTGGATCCTCAGATTCCACCGGTGTCCTGTCTTCTACAGCACTGAGGTCTAGGGACTGTTCTTGTGCCAGTCTCTTAGTCCTCAATCTTTGGAGCACACTCCTGTCTGGTGCCTCTGTGCAGCTGGGCCTTCTTTTAAAAATGCATCTTGGGCAGAGAGATTTCAGCTTTTCTGCTAGGGTCTTCAATTTTCTGCAGTCATGGTCAGCCCTATCAGTCCGTATGCAAGGGGTGGTCTTGCAGTCCTCACTGGACAGGGACTCTTTGTTGATATCTAGGGGCTGTTTTTGTGCCAATGTCTCAGTCCCCGATCCACTGAACGCCTGCCTGACATCATGTCCCACAGTTCGACGTTTGAGAAACGACCCTATTAGTTTCAAGCAGTTCTGCACTTGTCCTCGTATTTTAGCATACGTGATGGCATCTGATGGCCCAACAGAAACTGATGTGCAAGTACTGCTGCCTGTAACTGGCTCTGGAGTAACATCTGCTCCACTCCTGGATTTAATGTGCTTGTATATGAGGTCACTCAGTCCTTTAGTGAATCTCTGAGCCTCACCGATGAAGATATTTTTGTAGTTCTGAAGCACAGAGATGTCATCATGTTCCTCACTGTCATCAGTAACTGCCACAATCAGACTGTCAACACTGTCCATGAGTGTTCCTATGGACTCTGCATCTTCAGGTTTGAAGTGGGGGCAGACGTTTTCCTTTATTTTCATCACTATCTGATGTACTAAATCTTTGGCCTGTTGCTTTGTAAAAATTATCTTTAAGTATTGGCCTATTTGACAGGACTCCTCATAATCCTTTTCTGATAAATGGTCAATAAAGTTCATAATTATGTCTATTGAGATTCTTTTAGCTTCTTTGCATACTTCCCTCTCCATCAGCTCATCTAAACGTATTTCCGGTATTTCTAACAGTTCATGGCTCATTGTGTCCTTGGCAGCCACTGCACTTTCTGAACTGACTGGTGCCTCTGTGCAGCTGGGCCTTCTTTTGAAAATGCATCTTGGGTAGAGAGATTTCAGCTTTTCTGCTAGGGTCTTCGACTTTCTGCAGTCATGGTCAGCCCTATCAGTCAGTATGCAAGGGGTGGTCTCACAGTTCTCACTGGACAGGGACTCTAGGCTTCCTTTGACCTTCATGGTAAATAAGTCAACCAAGTGCTCTGCACAGGCCTGTTTAATGTGGAAGGTCTTGGAAAAAATCATACTGAGTACTTTGGATAGATGTGAAAGAAGGAGATGCTGTAGCACGGCTACACCGTTCTCAGCCTCAACTAGTGCCTTCGTCATGGCCCCAATAAAATCCAGCAGCAGCTTCACAAACAAGTCTATTGTGAAATCATCGGGCTCGCCCGATTTCAGCAGTTTTATCTGACACCTGTTCAGCTGTGTGAAAATGCTGTTGATACGTGGGACAATAACCCTTTCTAGATCAATTAACAGCAAACCCGGGGGCTCGAGTATATCTGATAGAGGCTTATTCATTCTGTTTGTCCGTTATTCGCGTTTTGTGAATTTTGCTAAACGTACACTGGTCCTGTAACCTTTCTTAAATACAGTTAACTTACAGTAGTAAGTTAACTGTAACTGTAAGTTAGGTCTGTAAGTGAAAGAGCAAATCAGTCCGGTTAATGTCTTCCTGTGTCTAAAGTACATCAAAGGAATCGTTGTTACGTGACACCTCCCGTGACGTCATCGCTCTCGTTAAAGGTAAACATGCCACAGGGTTTGCGGCCTGTAATGTTTTGGAGCATATAACACCTAGCCAACTAATACATGTTAAATGAATAGCTCAATATTATGTGTATATTTTTCGTTGTTAACCCAGACCAGTTGATACCGCTCTCATATCTGTACCTTATATATAAGGTTACAGCCAGCAGTCAGCTAGCTTAGTTTAGCATATACTGGAAACATGAGGAACCGGCTAGCCTGGCGCTCAGACAACGCCCCCACCATCACATCTAAAGTTCATGTTCAAGCTAATTTTTACACTTGGTTATCTGTAAGGACTAAACAGATTAAATATTATCTAGTAAGCTTTAGAGATGCTGGTATTTTGTCACCTCTGGAGTGAGCTAGGCCACCTATTTTTCACAGTTTTCCAGAGTTTATGCTAAGATACACTAAGCTAAGCCAAAATATGATAAACTAATCAGAACCATATTTTTATTTGTCATTTTTCCCTTGTTTCAGCTGCTAGACTTTTTCATGAACTATTATGTATTTGGTTTAAAACACAAATTTATTTGTTGCTTTGAAATTGGGTGTGTAGGCTTTATAAATTGATCTTTATATGTGATACAATGCTCAATATCTGTTAGTCTGATTGTCCATACTGTAAATTTACTGTGTGAATCTAATACTGTCTCCATATACAATCCTAAACCTGACTAAATCTAGCTCTATCTGAACCTTAGCCTGAACCTGTTTTCTTTGTTAGAGTCTGAGCAGAAACAGTTTGGCTCTCTGATCTCAAACATAAACCTTCTGTGTGTCTTTCTGACTTTGAACCTCATCCTAAATCTGTCACTGTTTTAGCCTGAAAATTTGCCTTTGCCTGCCATAATCTTTCTATTTTAGCATCAGTCTCATATGAGGTAAGACAGCTGGCAATAATATGCATGCGTATTAGTCTATGGCTGTGCACAAATGAATATGTTGTATGCAAAATTCTGTTTTTATAAACTCTTGTATAAGTCAAATCATATAGAAATTTGGTAGTGTGCATTTTGTTTGTGAAAATACGCTTTAAAAAGTTACAGCTTCAATAAATTACAAATACGAAACCTTTGTGCTTTCCTCAATTTAAATATGAATTTACAACAATGACCTGACTGTGAAAATACAGCATGAGGTCACAGGCATAATGCACTGAGCAGATATATTGCCAAAAGTATTTGCTCGCCTGCCTTCACATGCAAATGAACTTGAAAAACAACTGATTCTTAATCCATAGGGTTTAATATGATGTTGCCCCACCCTTTGCAGCTATAACAGCTTCAACTCTTCTGGGAAGGCTGTGCACAAGGTTTAGGAGTATGTTAATGGGAATTTTTGAACATTCTTCCAGACGCGCATTTGTGAGGTCAGACACTGATGTTGGATAAGAAGGCCTGGATCGCAGTCTCCCCTCTAATTCATCCCAAAGGTGTTCTATCGGGTTGAGGTCAGGACTCTGTGCAGACCAGTCAAGTTCTTCCACACCAAACTCACTCATCCATGTCTTTATGGACCTTGCTTTGTGCACTGGTGCGCAGTCATGTTGGAACAGGAACAGGCCATCCCCAAACTGTTCCCACAAAGTTGGGAGCATGAAATTGTCCAAAATGTCTTGGTATGCTGAGGCATTAAGAGTTCCTTTCACTGGAACTGAGAGTCCAAGCCCAGCTCCTGAAAAACAACCCCACATCATAATCCCCCCTCCACCAAACTTTACACTTGGCACAATGCAGTCAGAAAAGTACTGCTCTCCTGGCAACTGCCAAACTCAGAATTGTCCATCGGATTGCCAGACAGAGAAGCACGACAGACTGGGATGTGTTTAAAGCTGCAGCCACCTCAGAGGACTTTTCTGTCAACGTACAGGATTATGCTGAGTATGTGACCGGATACATTAGTACCTGTATCAACAACATTGTGCCTACCAAGTCATGAGGTTTCCCAACCAGAAGCCCTGGATAAACAGTCAGGTACGCCACATGCTACGTGCTCGCTCTCATGCATTCAGATCAGGCGATGAGATGGAGTATTGTGGTATTTTAATATTAGTTACAATCCTTGTCTTCTTATTTTATCATGATGCTACAATTCTGGAATATTCTGCATTTGGAATTTTAATAATTAGCAATATCCAGTATGGACACCCAGTGGGAAATCAATATTAACTTCATGTGGACGGCAAAGTAAGAATTTCATTGTACAGGGAAACACGTTTCCTAACTGTGCATATGACAAATAATCACTTTGAACATGATCATCATCCAGAGAACGGGTCTCCACTGCTCTAGAGTCTAGTGGCAGCGTGCTTTACACCACTGCATCCGACACTTTGCATTGCACTTGGTGATGTAAGGCTTGAGTGAATACTTTTGGTAATATAGTGTATGTATGTTGTGCGATTCCACAAATTGCACATGCATTCAAAGCTGGACTTTATTCTTGACTCGTGAAAACTGCTAGGTGCCAAACAGTTTTCATTAAGCAACAGGCTGCACCGTACTGAGATACAGTATGTTTTAATGTTGTCCGTCAGGCTTCACACTTGTGCCTTGATATTTAGCATACAGAAAGGTACTGATCTGGCTGATTGACCTCATAACAAAAAAGCAAATAAACCTACATTTTCAAAACATGTTCAAATACTGTCTCCGCACCCGCTGCCCTCACTAATCTCCACCAGGTGGAGACATTGCACAGCATTTGGAGGCTGACATTTGACTGAGGACATTATGTAAGTCAGATGTTTTCAGACTGCTCTGCACAGTCACTCTGACCCCGTCATGGACTGTCACGTCCTCCAAGAGCTCTGAGGGGATTTGTGTCTCTCAAGGTGAGACAGCAGAGAAGGTCTAAGGATTGGCACTAAAACATACAAGGGATGACAACTTCAGATGCCTACCACACCTCATGTTATCCCACACATCTATTAGTCCATCTGTAGAAAAGTTAATATTGATTTCCCACTGGGTGTCCATACTGGATATTGCTAATTATTAAAATTCCAAATGCAGAATATTCCAGAATTGTAGCATCATGATAAAATAAGAAGACAAGGATTGTAACTAATATTAAAATACCACAAAAGTCACTTTAAACTTACCTTTGGCCTCCATTGATATACTTCAATTCTTTTCTAATCACATTAACAACTCTTTTTGAATGACTGCTTTAACACTTTATTTTGTGTTTCATTGTGTTACATTTGTGGTTATATGCTCAATTTGCAGACGGCATGCGAGGGCTACACCTTTCCCCTTATCCGCTTGCCATAGCCTACCTGGAGGATTGCTATGGCAACAGGTTTCCAGTAGCGACGGGGTTACCACTACATACGAGCAGAAAAAAAAACGGAACAACCGAGCAACAGCAGCAGAGGGAGAGGTCTGCCAGGCACCGTCAAAAAAGAAAAATACGCACAGCGAGGCTTTTCTGTTATGAAGTGAGAAGCCCTGCGGTCTGCAAGCACGCGTCTGTTCGTTGTTGTTTGTTCAGTGAAATAAACAGTATCGTCGGATCCGCCGGAATGAGCCGCTGACGGAGGTTCTCGAGCTCCCCTGATAACAACAGGTTAGTGTTTACAGACTCGGTCACTCTCACCCGCAGCGGCCTCTCACACGACTACATTCAGCAGGAAGGCGTTTTATAAGATTGAATTTAAGAGCCTCATTTTATCCTCTGATAATAGGTGCCGTCAGACGCACCGGAGAGGAAAAGACTGTTTGGGCGCATTTTGATGCATCCACGTGTGCAGTAAGGAGTCCAGCTGTGGCGCATTTCCCGGCGTATTACAGTGTACGGCTGACCGTGGACAGCCAGGTAACTGACATACACGATCAGCAGAGACAGTTTCAGGTAGAAATGTGGCTGCATTTAAATGGCGGCTGATCATTTTGCATTGAATTGTTGCTGAGATTCCCTGCGGTGAACTGCGGGTGTGTCTACCGTTGAACACTGTTGATTACATGCATTTGGATGGGTCGTGCTAAAGAATTGAGACTATAGCCCATCAGTATGAGGGGTCACCGCTCTTTTGCATTTATACATTTATAATTAGCGCATTTTTGCATATTTCCAACAGAGTCCCATTTTACCTCACTGGCTATGCTGTCTTTTTTTTTTTTTTTTTTTTTTTTTAACCAGTTTCCAGTATAGTTCAAATATGGACATTAATTATAAAACAAATATAAGGCAATAAGGACTTTACTTTAGTTTCAGTGCATGCATTTCTAGTGCAATTTTTAGATACCTTGCTGCCTTGTAGGATCCAAAGGATTATCTGTCAGATACACAAAGGGTGAAATAATGGCAAAAAGACAAGTGTGAAAAAATAATTATCAAAAGGGTAAAATTCAAGGTTAAATATCAATAAAATGTGCTAAAATCAATATTTTGTAACATACTGTATATTTATGAATTTATTCAATAGTAGACTCATATAAGTGGCCATTTACAAGAATTTGAGCAGTTATATGATCATGATCATTTAATTGCAACATGCTAAGAAGTAAAGTCCAGTAATTTCAGTTTAATTTTATTCCTTGTGATGCCTTTTGAATTCTTCAGTTGTCATAGCCATATGGCACACACTCACACACAGAAACATATAGCCCCTCAGGTTTGATCAGCTTTTCAACATAACGCGGTTCATTTCTACATTTGGCTCCATGTCCTTGTCAGTTTCACTCTCAGTGCCTGCATGACACTGTTTCAGTTCTTTTCTTCAGCACAGTAACCTTCACTGATGCTGTGCAGTTGCATCAGAGTAACTTTTGTATTTACATAATGCTGTTTGGTTTCTAAAACCAGACAATGCATCTGTATTTCTGTCATCAGGAGTCTATTTCAGAGCCACATAGGTAGTTGTCTTCCCTGAGATGTAGCTGCTGCTGAGCAGTCCATGCAGTAGATATCATTGGAGCTCTTTTGAAATGGGAAGTGCAGCTCTTTCTGAAGTTGTCAAGAAAAGGTAAAATGATTAATGTATCTCTGTGAAACTGTTAAGACTTTGAGACCTTAGTCATAGAGCTGCTGGTGATGTAAATGTTGGAGTCTTTGAATTGCATTACATAAACTGCTAACGAATAGCTGAGCGGTTCCTGGCCCACAGTGCTAATACTCTGCAACCTCCCTGTGTCATTGGAGGCAAAGAAGATGAGATTATGATTTGACAGTAAACGCTGATGGAAAACCAGAGGACAAAGAAAAACAGCTTGTTTTGTAATCATTTTTTCCTGGCAAGGGCAATGAATCACTACTGTGAAATATAATTTTTGAAATTTAAGTGTGATGGATTACAGGCTGCTGATCAACGAGGCAGAGCTGAAGGCTGCTCTCTCTCTCTTTTTCTTTCCTTTTTTTTTGGCAAAAAGAGACAACTCTTATGCCCATCTTGTCACTTTGAGGCATCTTTTTGAGCCATCCAGCACCCCTGCCAACTTACTGCCAGACTCTGTGACGGCTGTTCATGCTTAGAGAAGCATAACCAAAGGACACAACCTGAAAAGGATTAGAGTTTGGGTTATTCCAACATTTCTCATAGGCGACTGATACTCAGATAATAATGTAATAGATCTGAAAATGACTGGGTGGGGCCAATTAAGCAAAATTGTTCAGCATACAAGTAAATTCGGGGTCACACTAACTAGTTTCTCTCATAGTTTTGAGCATATTTTCACTAAGGTGTGGTGACACAGCAGCACGGCTATCATGCAGTCCATTAGGACTAACACAAGATGTCAGCCATTCTGAGTGGTTGTGAAACGCCCCATTTGTAAGTAAAAACAATGGCTGTAATTTACAGAGCTATATTTGAACTCTATTTATCATAGTGTTTGATTGCTGGCACATTTTTCAGGGGAATGGCCAATTGCCACCTCACCCCTGTTTCCAGGTAAACTGATTTAGATCAGTGATTCCCTGTGAAACTGGTGATTCGATACCGCCACAAAACGTAAAGTTAGTAGTTGCAAGAAGATTAACAAGATGTGAAAGCAGAAAAAAGTTGTTTCTGCAACTGGGCATTGTTTATACCAGATCATTTTTACTATTTGAGACCTTTCAAAACAGGTTCAAATGAAACAAAGAAAACAAAAATACTCTTTGATTGAACTGGTCTCTGGGGGTCACAAGTAGACATTACTTTCTTTTAAGGTGTCACAAGTCAAAACGTTTGGAAACCTTCGGTTTATATAAATGCGTCGGACTGCTCATGTTGTTTTAATAGATTTTGCTGCAGTGATTGTAACCATGTGCTCAGAACTCAGTAGTTAAGTTAGTAAAGAAATAGGATTGAGGTACAAAGCTACAGCAGATATATTGAAAGAATTCCCTTTACACTGAGCAAGAAAAACAACCAGATGTCAGAGTAATCTCTGAGATCGAAGGTTTAATAAAAAAGGATTTTGTCTGGAGTGCTCCTACAGTGTAAGGACAGACAAATCCAGAGACTGGTTTGCTCTCGGAAAGAATTTGCTCTGCAGGAGAAACAACATCAAATGAACGATCCTGCTGGTTGGTTGTTCTTGGACTGATGAATTTAGCCCCAGCTCTGTTTATAGAACAGACAACCCAGCCGCCTTCTCCAGATTCAATGTCTGGAGTGTCTTTTTGCCAGAACAGATGATCCACACACACCACTACGAACTGCTCCCCAATCTCAAACTCAATTATAGTCAAATTTTGGATTTGTCTTCCTTAGCACAGTTTGTGTGTGTCACATGCGATGGCTGAAATGACCTTCTGGGCCCGATAACCGCCACTCCCTTGACTCTGATTTTTTTATACTACCTGGACATAGGTTTGCTGTACGCCAAATGGATTCACTGTCAACAAATATCACAAAAAGACCAAAACCAGCAATGTGTTAGTCCTTCTTCAATATGTTCTGGCTTCCCTACCCTGACTATGAAACTGTGAACTCATAGAAAACAAACAGATACCAAATCTATAGTTTAAAGTAAAAAAAGAAAAAAAGACTCACCAATTTTCTACTGTAGTTTTAACAAACAGGAGCAAACTAGTGCATTTTTCATGTGCTATTTTTAGTGGTGCATGCTCTAGTGAATAGTTATGGGATTGAGGTAAAATAAACTAGAGTGTGTGGGCTCATGGTGATGAAGGAACAGTGTGACTCACTGATGTTTTTACTGGCACAGAAGAATAAGCTACTATTTAATATGATTGCTTTTTTTATTGGTTTTGGACTTGTTTGTGTTAATAATAACAAATATACAATGTCACCAGATGCATCCTTTTAAACACAAAATGGAAATGATGAATTTGCACCACCAAAGCTGACCACGGTTTTGACACCGCAGCAGTGGGGGCTGGGCCAGGTGTCCACTGTGCCTGGCTGGTGATCCAGCACCTTGTTTGTATTCATGCCTCATATATGTGACCTTGTCTGGGAGGAGACATTTGTTCCTTTTCATGCATGATGATGTTTAAAACTAACTGTTGCCAGTGAGTTTACATTGCTGATGCAGATTGGTTTCTTATTAACATTACTCATTGGTGACAGGGTTAGGAATTACATATATTATCCAGTGGTGGTTTAATGAATTTAGTGACATATTTACTTCCACATTTATGTTGTCTCCAATTAATGTTATATAACTAAATCCTCCAAAGTGCCTGACACTTCAAACTCCCTGAGCTGCTGAAC